CCAGGAAAGCAGCACTTACTGGATGAAGCAGCATGGAATGACCAATCCTTGACCTCATCTCTGGACAGTCGTCCTTCAGCTTGCGCCACATGTTAGTTGGCACATGGTAAGCATACAACCCACTGAAGACCTGCTCGTTACTGCGCTCCACTTCTGATGGAGTTCTGTAAACAACAGCATGGTAGTGTTAATTCTTTTCACGTAAAAAGTTTTATTTTAATCCCTTATTTTTCAAATAATAAACATTACCAGTATACAACAGGAGTATACAAGTTCAAAATTTCCTTGTGGAGAAACAGAGCAAACAAGAACGAAAAAAGAAGTTGCAGAGACCACATAATCATAATTATCTAAACAGCTTGAGATATGATATACCTCTTAGTCAGTGACTGAGAAAAGATTTTTGAAACTCACTTAATTTTTTTACTACTTTCTTATTCTTTATAAAGGTCTAAGCAAACAGTATATCTTCAATATAAATAGTAACATTTCTTGAATTTTCCACCTACTTAGAAAGCACTCTGCCACCAAAGACATAGAGGGTCTGTTTTTCAATATCCATGGCCATTTGGTGGTCAAACACAAGCTTTGGACCCCCCATGGAGAAAGTGTCCTCTGTGATCAGTGTCCATTTGCCAGTGTCAATGTCGTAAACATAAAAATCACTCTGAAAATTTGTGCAAATTATGGTTTTATCACATCGAAATTTCATTTAATAAAACCTGTTTCAATTGCACGCTATAACTATTTCAGAGGTGTTTAAATTCATTTACATTTATTTCTCTATTTGAATTTCAGCTTATGTCTTACTTTCCTTGAAAAATTGACTCTTTAAGTAGGGGTGGGCAAATGAAGGCTTTTTTGAGAAATTTAATTTCAGACAAGTGGATTCTATGGCCATTTTGGCTGCTGAATACAAATCTAATAAGTATTTTCATTTTAAATTACATCTGATATTGGTATCAGGTGATTTTTCAAAATGGCAACCAAACGCTCCCTCAAATCACATATTTCTCATGTAAATCTTTAAATATCAGTTCAAACATGGCTTTTTATATGTCTAACCATATGATTTCATGATCAATGAGCATAAATAGATACATCATTTTGGATGGGTCACTTCATTTTGGGTTAAAAAGAGGATTTTTTGTCATTTTGAGGTAAAAATCACCCCAAAATCACCATTTCTGTGTACATAAATACAAGTGTTTATATGCAACTGTGGCTTTTAAATTAGGAAAAACAATAATACAACAAATAATTGAAATATGGCCAGTGTTGTTTAAGGATCACATGAAACTGAAAAGTTTTGACATATAGAATAGCATAATGTTAGTTACATACGGGAATATTTACAGTAGAACACTCAGTAGCAGAGCATTAAGGATATTGTTACTCTTTATTACCATCCAGATACCAAAAATAAGTTTTTTCCTGCATCTAATTATTCAATAATGTATCTGTCTTTGTGCTGCTTTGAAACAATGAAAAAACTCCTGAAAATATGAAATAACGGCGTTTATATTTTTTCGTTGCAATGTATAAGCATAAGCAACTCAAAGCTTTAATCATATATTTAACAGCTTTCTTTTTTGAGATTAGTTAGCATTGCATATGGGGCTTAACTTCATCCCTGAACAAGATTTTATCACAAGGAATGGCCAATGGACCACAAAGGCATGAGTTACAATCCCATGCCAACGTTATGGTTTAAATGCTTTTGTTATGGAGTCATGAGTCCGTAATGACCGATCTTCTAAAAACAAAGGTATTATTTTGCTTTATCAACGATCAAATCTGAACTAAGGCTTTAAAAAATCGCTGGCAGGGTTTTGGGGTACTAAATGGTGTCATTAAATTGGCTTTGAAATAGTGATCAAGGGTGTTCAGGTAAAACAGACATTTGAGAAACCGATTTTTCAGTTTTTACCCCCAAACTGCAATTATACCATCACCCGTAAGATGACATGTGTAAATGTTAATTAATGTAATCACTGAACACTGAAAATTTATTTATCACCGAAAAGAATGTATGTAAGGCAGTAAATAAGGAGTTTTGGGTGAACGGTGACAATATCCTTATTGTCTTCATTTATAACCTAGTCACACTAGAGGCGGAATGAGCTAGAATGTAGTTGGAATAAAAATTTCTTGTTTGTTCCTGGATATTTGAAGTATCTTAAAATTCTAAGCGCATTCTAAATGTTTGGGTCCATTCTTGCATCCTATTAAAATGTTTTGCTCATTTTNCGGTTGTGTTCAGGTAAAACAGACATTTGAGAAACCTATTTTTCGGTTTTTACCCCCAAACTGCAATTATACCATCACCCATAAGATGACATGTGTAAATGTTAATCCATGTAATCACTGAACACTGAAAATTTATTTATCACCGAAAAGAATGTATGTAAGGCAGTAAATAAGGAGTTTTGGGTGAACGGTGACAATATCCTTATTGTCTTCATTTATAACCTAGTCACACTAGAGGCGGAATGAGCTAGAATGTAGTCGGAATAAAAATTTCTTGTTTGTTCCTGGATATTTGAAGTATCTGAAAATTCTAAGCGCATTCTAAATGTTTGGGTCCATTCTTGCGTCCTGTTAAAATGTTTTGCTCATTCTCAAAACTTTCGAAGTGCATTCCAAGTGGAAAAATATCGAATGGCATTCAAGTGTATTCTGTCTGCACTATGAGCGCATTCTTAAAATTCTTACGAAATTCCAACAGCATTCGAAACATTTTGATCACATTCGAGGGAGAACCGAAATGGCAAGGCGCTTCAAATCTTGTCAGAATGTCCCACATTGTGCCTCCAATGAGCAGGAATGCAACTCGAATGCATCTTGATTGCAGGCTGGGATTCAGCCAACAATGAAACCACACTTGTATGGCATTTGAAGTGCATTCTAAATATTCTCACTATATTTAGGGTGAACGGCATTAGCATTAACGATATTCCTAATGTGTGCCAACTACATTCGAGCTGCATTTGAGAGCTATACAATACAACTGAAATGTGCACGAATCATTCCAGGTGGGTTCGAAGCGCATTCTGAGGTATTCTTGCTGGAATTAAGGTCAATTTGATATTACCCAACGAATGTGGCGCGAATTTTGAAAATTCTTCATTATGGCTCATTCTGCTTGATTACTTCAGATTCCAAATAAGTGTGACAGGGGGCTTTACAGTGCCTTCTGGTCTTAGTGTATCTCTTGTTGATGCTTTCATGGTTGTGGTGAGATACTCTTAAACTACACAACTGAAAGTGAAATTCCAAGGTCAAGAGCTTAGAGGTTGATGTCACCTGACAAAGTTTTACCTGTTCTGAAGAAAAGGAAAATTATACAGCATAAAATTTGTTGGTACACATCCATGAAGGTATTTTCAGCATTGTTTTTATACCAAACTGTAATCCATGAATTCAGTATGTACATAATGGCCATTATTTATATTTATCTTAGGCTCGAAGTGTGTATTTTATGTATATGTTTGTTTTAAATAACATATTTTTACAGATGTCACCCTAACAATATTGCCAATGTCTTGAATATGCTCATATTTGAACTCAGCAACCCTCAAAACATATAGAAAGACATATTACACATCATTTTCATGTACTTTACTGTGAAAATATGGCCAAAAAGCCATTTCCCGCCTTTTTTCACAAACAAATAGCAGATACCAATATAAATCTTTAGCTTTGGTAAAAAATATTGTCAGATTTGTGTTCAGCAGCAAAAATGGCCATAGAATCCACCTGTTTTAAAAAAATTTTGTCATTTGCCCACCCCTATAATATTACACGCAACTGCATGCATTGGCACATTCACCTCACACTGCTACTTATATGTGGTAAAGCTGTTATGTCAGCAGAAATATTTCAAGTATCGCATTCTACCAAATACTTTTACATTCTGTGATATCAGTCAGCAGTCCAAAGCAATAGATTTGTAAATCTGGTGCCTGAATTGTAAGGAATTTTTTTCAAATGTACAAGAATAACTGAAATTGAAATTGTAGCAGTTGTTTTTTGGTTAATTTTCCATTATTTCTAGGTTTTCTTATAATAACAGTCAATATTAAGAAATATAAGTAGTTTTCTTTGATCTTTAAGTCAAGATGGTTTGAACACAATATACTCATTTACTATCACACTGCTATGATTTTTGAGCTGTTTGTCATTCTCATTTATATTCAATTTAGCAAATTAACCATAACTACATGCCATGTTGATGGCAAAGTGGGGACAAAATTAGAGTATGATCACAATGGAAAGCTGATTAACCAAACACCATGTGCCCGGCAGGTAAACATTACTGTTACTCTGTTCCATAATAGTGATATATAAATGAATTAACTGCTAATAATTATCAATGAACAGACACCTTTTATGTAAGATTCTTCAACTTATTTGACAACTTAAAAGCTTATGCAAAGCATATTGTAACAGTGTAAGAAATGTGTTGCAAGTATTTTGTGGAAAGCTTGAAGGTTACAAAGGATGTGTCAGATCATGTTCTCCTAGTTTTATCTGTAAAACATTTCCTTGAAAATCTCATGGTAATGGCAGCAGAAGATCCACCTGTAATTTTATTACTTGTAACAAACCGCCCTGATTGTGACAGTTGAGACCATCCTCCCCAATTATTTTCAGCAAGGCACCACAGTTTGTCTTTCCCAGTTGTTCTCCACTCTGCCAGTCAGACACAAGGAGTTCCAGAGGAATCTGAAAAAGGAGTTCAGCAAGATGGTGCAGGTGTTAAATAGTTATTGCATTGTGGCAACTGGTGTCCGGATCTCTTGTACCAATGTCACTGAAAAAGGGTAAGATGAAGTGCAATTGTAAACACTTACCTGGAGGAAGAATCTTCAGCTTGAAGTAAAAAAAAAAATCAAATTGCCCAGTGCTAAGAATTTTCTTGGATTAAGAAAAAATCTGCAGCCTGAAAAGGGGTTTATATTTACTTGCCTCACCTAGCAACAATTATGTTATTACTGTTATCACTATAAATTTTATTTCTGTAATACCTGACCAGGAAGAAAAGTACAGTCATCAGCACAAATGGAAACCCAGGAATGAGAGAAAATATCACAAATGTGTTTGGGGCCAAGCAGGTATGCAAATGAGACAGTTGCCTTAACCTACTTGTTGCAGTTAACTAAATTCTGTAGCTAGTCATTTCAGTATATTGAAGAACTCGTACATTGAATCTCAATTTTATTTCCACAGAAAGCTGGAGATAAACATTGAATTAAAAAAAATACATTTTACAAAAAATAAAACAAAATAAAAAGCAATCATATTTTTATGTGGACATATTTAAGTAATGATCCATTTCCTTTTGTTGTCTACTATATGTATATGTAGTTGAACACTTTGATGGACTTCACCCAGTGCCAGCCTGAAGATGACACTGCAGAGGAATATGGTTTGAAAAGTACAAATAAGAATGGTTTGTTGAAGTAAGTAGCATTTGCTGTTTTCATATACAGATGCTGTAAATGTCTGCATATATTTTAATCTCTGTGTGTTATACCATTGCTGTTCTACATCATAACTGCTAGAAATGTTGTTATTTATTATTTTCATTGTGACTGCTTCGTAAAAGAGCAGGTTGATTTTAAAAATCAGGATGAGCCAATTATTGTTCGAAAAAATACTTGATTTTTTATTTTGGCAAAAATCATTGTTTTACTTTATTTTACTTGTTTTAAGAAAGCTTTTATGGCATATTTGTTTAAGATTCATTGTAATTTTTAAATTTTTTCTCATTGTCTGTATGTTTCCAAGTTTTGCTGTCTATTTTTAAGAAGTCTGAGTGTTGTAGAATAGTATTTTTTAAACCAGGTAGTTTCTAAATGATTACTTTATTTTTATTTTTTTATTTTATTTTATTTATTTAATATGTATGTGTTGTTGTTTAAACAATTAAAATTATTCATTCAGATTAGAGTTTTGAAGATTAAAATCAATATTTAAGATTTTTACGTATCATTATTGTACCACCAGCGTAGGCGCTGGCGGTACACATGGTTTTAGTCCTGACCGGCATGTTCTGCTGACTCCATGCTAAGTCACTGTTACCGCTTCTCCTAGACTACAAGAACCTGCGCACCCATCTCTTGGATTTAGGTCGGATATATAATCTCCACTCGATCCACGTAAATTTTGGGCTTTGTCGGTGCTGAGGTCTAGGTGTGGCACTTGTTGCAATGCATCCTTGTCCAAAATTTGCAAAATTAAATGCTAAATATCTCCCAAACCGAAGGAATTATGGTAAAAATTTCCACAGATGGTTGACTGAAAGTCATATGTGGAGATGCCCTTGGATTTGATCTTACTCCAGCTGGTGGTACAATACCTGGAGGCAGTATCGCCTCTGATCCTGTAGTGATATATATATATATAGACTCATTATATTCAGTGCAGTGGTACTTTATTAAGAATTACAGGGTTCATCTCTAAATGTGATCATGGTCTTGGCAGGAGTAGCACCGACAGACAGTTCTTTTTCATCAATAAAAGACCTTGTGATCTCACTAAAGTAAGAAATTCTACTTCATTAATTCTACTTCATTAATTCTACTAATTCTGTTTTAAGGAAAATGCGCAAATGATACAACCTTTCATAGATTGTTTGATTTCTATGTCACTTTTATATGGTTGGGTTTTATTATAGATCATGTAGTTTGTCTCTTTCATCAGTCACAGAGACACTGCTGCTGTACTTGACATTAAATTTGACACTTCTGCTTTTGGTATATAAAATCATTCCAATGTTATGCTTTAAAACATGTCTTAAAATAAAAGCAGCTGTCTCAGAAGAAGCCTTTTCCAGATTGCATACGTAATTGTCTACATTTGTGAATATATGCTTAACTCACTTGTTGCATTCATGTGTCTCATTTTAGTTATCTAAAGTGATCAATGAAGTCTACCACATGTACAACAGACACCAGTACCCCTTTGTGGCCTTGAATGTGTCTCTTGAAAAGGGTAAGCACACTTTACATTGATAAGGTCTATAGGATATAAAATATGAAAATGACAAAATGTAGAAAGGTGCCTTATTGTCAGAATAGATTCTTTATAAACTTTTGGGTAAAGATGGTTATATGAAATAGCTTCTATAGACAAACATGTTTCTTAACTAATAGTATGAGGCATATTATTTCAACCATTAATAAAAAGACCACGTCTAACAGTTAAGTCCAGTGAACATGTGAATTAAACCTATATACCAGTATATAGGTTATACGACAAGTCTTTATACAAGTTTCAATATCACACATAAGAACCTATTATTCCCAATGTTCAAACAAGAAATAATTTTTATGTACAGACATATTGTGCCTGTGCATATAGCCAACATCAAGTCTTCCATGTTGATGTGGACTTTTACATGTAACACGATAAATTGTAAACCACGTGACTTATTCTCTTCAAATGTACAGAACTGATGTCAATTAATAAAGTACAGGTTAAGTCTGAAACCTAGACTCAGCAGATGATTTTTTTTTTTTTGTGAAATGTTCATTTTTCACATCATGGCCTTTTCAGGGTGTGACTTAAAATTCCATGGGCATGAAAACCTTTTTAATTAATTTTTTTGAATATCCATGATACATATGAAAAAAAAAATGGTGCTGGTTATGCTGTTAAGCATTATGTAATATTGCATCAAAATTTACAAGACCCCTTTTTTTGGTCACTGCCACCATAAATACCATTAAAGAAAAACATGTTTCTTATCATTCTCAAACTGATTGAAAAGGTTCATAGAATTGAAATACAGCTTAAGTTGGATACCCAGTCTTTTTCTTGAAGTTTTGTTTTTTTTCTGTGTTTTTTACATATTTGCTTTTTCAGTGTGGGACCTAGAACTCCCATGAACCTCAAACTGTATGCTAGTTGTAATTTCTGAATAACCATGTTATCTGGAGGAAATAATTAAAAAATTGACAAAAAAAATTTTTTTTGTGCTGACATGGTAACAGTATAAAAGGAAAACTGTCACTTAAATATTATCTTCAAACTTACATTAA